GGGCGTTTATAGTGGTGTAAAAAAAGGAAAAGGATAAAATCGTAAATGTTAGTCATTCCTATAGCACATTGGCTTACTCATTGACCTTTAACAAAACAAAATTTAAAACTCATTCACCTAGCCCAAAACAAAAATAGGCCATTTACCATATACTAATTATTAAAGTTTTTATTTATTTATTTATTTTATTTAATTTTTTTTATCACTATACACTAATTTTTCTTAGAATTAATACATTTGAGACTCCAAATTCGAGACAACCACAATTTTAATTTTATTCACCATTATTATTATTTTTTAGTTGGGATTAATTTTTGATGCTATATGTGATCATTGGTGGATCCACAAAGGCACAAGGAGACTTGCCGGAAACTTCCTTGGAGATGCTGGAATTTGCCCCTCTGCTAGTGCCCACAACTTGTTCGACTAAATGTCTCAAAGAGGTTGTTTTCTTTGCTGTTGTGTGAGACCCTGAATATTTACCTTAGATTGTTGGACTCGATCTCACGAGCATGTAGGAGAAAACGGTTCCTCAATTGGAGCTCCAGAACCAAAGTTATGAATTTTAGAAGTTTTTAAGAATTGATATTGCAAAGGAAGTTCGATGAAGAAGAAAGACTCGGCATCAACTTTGATTCCTTTTTTAAAATAGTCCAATAGCAAGCCGCTACATGTCAATTTCTATTTGCGCTAACTTAAAAAATTCATTAAAAATTCATATGTACACCAAAAAATTCACCGAAAATTACCCGGAATTTGTAATCGAGTTTACTTTTATCTTGTGACCTCCAAACCACATGTGCTAGCTTTTGGTTGGATTAATTGGTATTAATTTTGGTCAGATTAATTAGTATTGAATTTCATTAGATTAATTATATAATTGACATGGATTTTGTTCATATATATTTGATATGAATTTTGGTAAACTAAGTGTGTCCATGGACATAGGTTTTGTTCATATTAATTGATATACCATATAGACTATAATCAATTAGTAATAGACGAAAAACTCTTACTTGTTTTAATTTTGAATGACATTAATATTGTTTAAATTCTAAAGGCATTTGCTTGTTTAAATTATTTTTTGAAAATTTAGTGTTTTAAATATTGCACCTCCCAAATTTCATGGATCTACCACTGCACGCGATTCTTGTGCCTTGGTTTCAAGCAACAAAGTTTTCAATATATTCATGGTACCACTTGTGCAGATGATACCTGCGGTAATAAAAGAATAAAATGGCGTGATCCAGTTATATTCCTCAGAACAAAATCCAAGAGCCTCAAGCAGCCTACCTGAACTTGATCAAATTTTGGTTGAGCCAGGCCCAGGTATGGAAACAAAAAGAACTACTGCCGCTGCTGGTCAGATTCAGAACAAAGCAGTAGCGATAGCTTGGTGTCTGATAAAATAGACTGGTAAATTGCTTGGAATACCCAAGAACTTGGCTGGAAGAGACACGTGGCATGCTGATGATTGTGGCAACCATGATATAAACCACAACTTTCGAAGCTGCAGTTAATCCACCCGGTGGTGTTTGGCAAGACAATAATACAAATAGCAGCGCTGGAGGTAATACTTATTGCACCCATGATAACATATGCTCTGCTGGAACTTCAGTGGTAGGCAGCGGCTTCCCAAAAGACTTCCTCGCGTTCGTAACATTCAATACCGTCTCGTTCATTGCTTCTCTCAGTGTCACCCTTTTGCTTGTTGGCGGTTTCCCCTCCGGAATCGCGTAATTATGTGGCTGTTATCAATGGCCATGTGTGTCACTCTCACTTATATGGCACTCACCTATATACATGCTCTCATCTTAGTGTTCCCTAATACTGAAATTTCACTACTACAAAAAGTGAAAAAGACGACCAGAAAAAAACGACGGTTCAACGAAAAAACCGTCGTTGTATTTGAAAAGACGACTGTTTTATAAAACCGGCGTGTATGATTAACTTAAACAACTAAAAAATGAAGATACCAACAGGAGTTTTTAAAAAACGACACACCTAATTAAAAAAGTGACGTCTTATTGAAAAAGGTTTTTCTCATAGTAAACTCTGAGCCCACAAACAACGGCAGAAGGTATGAATCCACCGACATAGAAAGTAAAGACGACAGTTTAAAGAAACAGCCGCCGTGTTTACTCCGTAATAAACATGACCAAGTTTTCGTATCTGGCGTCATATAATTTCAAAAGAATCCACGGCGGTATATTACAAAATACCGCCGTATTAAATAAATGTACAACGATGGTAAAGATAAATTTATCGACTTATTTCTTGTAGCGTACTACGACGGTTTCTTTAACTCTAACCTTACATCTAAACCGTCGTCTTAATAATATTATTTTTTCACTATTTATTTTGTTATCTTACGACGGTAGACCAACTTAATGACAAGAATTGAGAATAACCAGGACGGTTTATATAGAAAACCGCTGACAGAATCAAATTTTTCTGAGATCCCAAGAGATACATCCTGAAGTTAAAATTACCGTCGTATTTATTCACTTTATACGTCTCACCTTATATCTAAATCGTCGTCTTAATAATATTTTTTTTCAACTATTTATTTCTTGGATTTTTTTATCCTACATCGGTAGATCAACTCAATGACAAGAATTGAGAATAACCCCGACGGTTTATATAGAAAACCGCCAACATAATAAGATTTTTTTGAGATCCCAAGACTTACAAATCTTACCAGATGGAACTCTGTTCCTCATCATAATCGGACCATAGAAAGACAATATTTTAGACATTGATGATGTGTGTGTCTTCGTGTCTTTGAGATACACGAAGGCACATACACATCAACATCCAAAAATTTACCTCTAACATTTGATGACGGCAGCCACAGATTTGCATTCAGATAGACAATTTTTTGGAAGTTGATGATGTGTGTGTGTTTGTGTCTTTCAGATACACAAACGCACACACACATCAACATCAAAATAATTGCCTCTAAAATTTGACGATGGCAGCCACATATTTGCATTCAGATAGACAATTTTTTGGAAGTTGATGATGTGTGTGTGTTTGTGTCTTTCAGATACACAAACATACACACACATCAACATTCAAACAATTGCCTCCTAAGAGGTGAGACAAAGCCAAGGGCAAGAAGAACTTGGAACCCTAATTGAAAACTAAAAATGAAAGAACTCGTGAAAAAAAACTCAATTTATAAAAAAAAAATTCATATCCACGTCGGTTCTATTCCACCTGACGCCGTTTAACAAAGGAATCGACGTCGGTTCTTGAAACACGGAAGACGTATTAAATAGACAAACAACATCGGTCATTAAACTAAAGGCAACGAGGTTTGGATAAACAACGTCGGTTCCATATAAAAAATGACGTGGTAACTTATTATAATACTTCTTCAAAAGTAAACTTTTGACGTGTAGCGCCCAACTAACCACGTCGTTTTCGGAATACAAAAAGTCAAAAGGCTTTTTTACTAACCATGTCGGTTGATGTTATTTTAATGTCGTGGTAAGTACATAATAGGATGGTTTTTATGATTACCGTCATTGTATTTATCTGTGGGACATTATATAAACTTTTTGGTCACCTGATCTAAACTTTTACGTTCTCTCTAAAATTTTCAGTTTTCTCTCAGTTTCCCTCTCATTTCCGAAAAGCTGCGTTTCTGATTCTCAGTTTCCCTCTCTTTTACGTTCTTCATCGTCTTTGTCTCCAAAATTTGATTACGAAGAAAACTTTCTTTTCAAACCAAAGGTATTTTCTCACTCTAGTTTTTTTCTTTCTTCACTTTCCATATCATTTGAAGTTTTTTTTTTTAAAGAATGAGTCCCACTGATGTTTGAAACAAGACCCAGGTTTGAAAAAGCCAAATCTTTCACTGTTCCCACTCACAGGTCATGTGAGGACGACGGGTTTTTCTCGAATTTGACGTTTTTATTGACACACCACGACGGTAATTAGATTCGTGCTATTTCAATAGCACGGTTGTTCATAATAACCGACGTGGTGTGTTAATAAATACGACTTTTGAAAGATAAAGACCGTCGTCTGAGTGGAAACGTACATGGGAGAGAGAAAACTGGGCAGTTTTTTATTTATGAACTTGTAATACAATGACGGGTTTATTTAATTACCGTCATGTTAAGTTAATGACCACATCGTATTAGCACATCCATATTTCTATAGATTAGAACGACGGTTTTGTTTGGTTGCCGTTGTCTGAACTTTCATTTTACGTCTGTATTGTATATAACCGTCGTTGTTTTTCTTGCAATTCGTACTTCTCTCTAAACATGGTTTCGAAATCTCAAAGTAAGGATTCCCAAGCATCAAAAGGTCAAGGCAAGGACATTGCAGTTTCAAAGGCACAAATGGTTGAATCCAAATATGTTCCAAGCAATCCCGCGAAGAAGATGAGATTTACTTCATCCTCCGAGAAAGACCCAAGCTCTGCGACATTTGATGAAGTGACGAAATCGACTCGTGGTATCAACACAATAAGCCATGTTGTGAAGAGAAAAATCCATAAGATTAAGCCTGTGGTTGAGTATAATAAAAGTGGCAGACCACATGGCAAGGCTGCTATTAAGATGCAGAGTTACATTGGTGTTTTGGCACGCATCAGAGTCCCTCTTGTGCACAAGAAATGGACTCAATTGCCCAAGGACCTGAAGGAGCAGATTTGGGAAGCTGTTCAAATGGCTTATGTTGTTGGGGAATGGGGCAAGAAGATAGTGTTGTTGTCTGCCGCCAAAAAATGTAAGGATTTTAAGTCTACCTTAACTAGGCAGTTTATCCTTCCATTCGCAAATGAGAAGGAAAAGTTAAAAGAGCCCCCTCAGCTTTATAACTTCATAGAGAAATCGCAATGGGATGCCTTTGTAGCTTCAAGGTTATCCCCAGATTTTGAGGCTGTGCATTCTGAGCAGTCATAGAGAAGAGAGAAATGCGAGTACAACCATAGGTTGTCTCGAAAAGGGTACGTTGGTTTGGAGGATGAATTGGAAGAAACCATGCCCGGTGAAGAAATCGATCGATCTCTGCTATGGAAGAAGGCAAGAGAAGATAAACAGGGAAACATCCCTGATCCAAAAGTTGCAAAGAAGACAAAATTAATCGTAAGTCTCACTGAATCTGTTCTAAACTTGTAAAATAGAGGTTTTATTTTTCATTCAGACGTCGATCTTTTTAGTAACTGTCGTTAGACATGAAATCACAAGACGGTTTTTATTTACTGCCTTTTGTAAAAATATATAACGTCAGTATTTTTATAAAACCGACGTTTGTATTTAATTACAACGACGATTTTTTGTTTCTGTGCTAGGTTTTTTAAATTAAAATTTGAACTTTCTTCATATTCACACGCACACACACTCTCTCTCCCTCTCTATTTCTTTGCAATTTGTTTGTACACTATTTTTGGATGAATGAATTATTTTGTGTTTTTTTGTTTTTTTTTTTTTGATGTCAAATAAACGACAGTGTTTTCATGGACTGACGTTTTAATGTATACAACACGACGGTAGTTTTGGGCCGACGTATTAAATAATTTTATGCGTCTGTTTTTTAAATAAACTGTCGTCTTAACACCTTTACCACATCGGTTAATATTTTTATTAATTTATTTATTTAATCAGTTTTACTATCTATTCACTCACTAACATTCTCTCTCTCACTTTTAGGATGATTTGAAAAAACAAGTCTCCGAGGACACTCTAACTGTCTCTGGGAGCAACGATGTTTTGACCTTGGCTTTGGGAACCCCTGAGCATGGTGGTAGAGTCAGAGGTGTTGGAACTGGGGTTTCCTCAACTCAATTCTTCAATTTGTCGAGAGAGCAGAGAGTAAAATTTGCTGACAAATTGAAGGAAAGTGTTATGGAACCAGTGAGAGAGGAAACCAAAAAGATGGATGCCAGGGCAAAGGAAAGTGTTATGGAGGCAGTCAGAGCAGAGAGGGAATTTTTGTTGAAACAATTCAGTCAACTAATTCCCAACTTTGATCCCAACTTGCTCGGTAAAACTCCAACTACACCAATTACTCCAATTCTTCCAATTCCTCAAGAGCAAAGCCCAAAAAATCCAATGTCTGACAAAGCAAGTTGCTCTAATGTGAAAGCCCTTGAATTGGATGAAGACAATCCCACAAATGATGTTGATGCTCCTGAAAATCGTCAAGATGAAACAGTAAAATCTCTGACATTTGATTCTTTTTTTTTAATTTTAAATAGACGTCGGGTTTTATTTTACAACCTGTCGTCTATTTTAACCAAGACGACCTTTCTATTGTGTAGCGACGTTATAACATTTACACGACTGTTATGCATTTATCGTCGTCTATAACCTTTACCCGGCAGTATGTTCTAGAAACCGTCGTTGAGATTATATACCACGTCGGTTTTGTTGATTTGTTGGAGTCATTTATTTTACTTCATGCACAAATTAACTTTTATTTCTTTATTTATTTCTTGTTACAAGATCTCTCAAAGCTTGACATGCCAGCTCCTCTGTTAGCCCTATGCCAATATGTCGAGACCAAGTTGAAGCATCTAACGAGACCATTAGAATTCACATGCCAGAGGAAATGTTTGGCACTGATCATGATACCTGGCTTTTGAGTGAAGACATTTTACAGTTTGCTTCCATGGTTGAGATTGGATCCACAGTGATTGCAGTATACATGAGGTAATTCTAGAAATCCAATTTTGTTTTTTGTTTTTTACATTTCCTTTCTTTTAAATTAAAACCTCATTTAATTGAATTTCATATATTTAATTAGGTACCTATTTGACTATTTAAAAATGGCAAATATGGTAAACCTTGTTGGCCTCGTGGACCCTGGACAAGTCAGCTCTTAATTTGGAACGTTATCTCACCATTCAAAACATCTCTCAGAATGCCTGAAAAACGCAGATGGGGATCAATTTTACTTGGTGCCGTATAATCCAGGGTTAGTCCCCTTCTATATACTTGCAATATTGGTCCCTTGTAATTTTTTTTTGTAGTATATTTAATATATATGGATCATTTTGTGCAGGGGTCATTGGATGTTAATAATTGTGAGACCAGCTAAGGAGACTGTCTATTACATGGATTCATTGCCTAACCGCTTTGTTGACAAGGACGTGAGAAATATAGTGAATACGTAAGTTTATTAATGAAAAACTAAGATTTTTTATTTATGCATTCGAATGATACAACGACTTTTTCAAATACCGACGTTGTAGTGAAAACACAATGACGGTATATTATAACCGACGTTGGAAATCATTTACAACGTCATATTTTCTTGAAACTGTCGTCTTCATTGAAATACCACGTCGTTTGTGTTTTTCATTTTAGAATGTTTTAATTTTTTCTGTTCAACTTTCATTTAAAAACAACTTTGGTTATATGTCGTTTTTCTTCGTCACTGACGTTAGAATGATACACAACGACGGTTCTTATTTTTCGACGTTTGAAATAAAATACGACGTCATTTGTTTTACAAAATCGTCGTTTTCACTTATGTACCACGACGGTTAATATTTTTTATGCTGATTTTTAGTTTTGTCACTAACACTTTTTGTTTTCTTGAAACAGTTCAATCAAAATGTATAACTCTCACACAGGAAAACAATCATCATGTAAATCACCCATATGGAAAAATCTACAAGGCACTCCTAGACAACCAACAAATGTAGAGTGTGGCTATTACGTGATGCGTTTCATGAGAGATATAATTCATGATCCAGGCCTAGCATTTGAGAAGAAGGTATTTAATATATAATTTCTTTATTTTAATACCACGATGTTTTCTTTAAAAACCGTCGTTTTAATATTTATAACACGTCGGTTTTTGTTCTTTATTTGCAGTTTGACAAGAAAAAGGAACCAGTTGTGTATACTCAAGAACATATTGACGAAGTCAGGCTGGAATGGGCAAAATTCGTGAAAAAGCAATTACAGAACAATAAGTGATATAATTTATTTTAAAAAGGTTTAGGTTTTTTTTTAATTTTTTGATAATGTATATAAACATATTTTTGGTAATTAATTGAACATTCATCAAAAAAATCAAATGAAATATATTTTTGTTTGTAGTTTTTTTTTGTATAAGATATTTATGTCGTTAAATGAAATAAAATGAAAATAAATCATAAAAATTTAAATTAATTCCCCAAAACCAATGTCTCATATCTATAAACAACCGCCATCTTATTATAGCGAGAAAGAAAACATCGGCTGCATTTCTCAAAAATGACATGTAAGGTTGACATACACTACGGTTAATATATAAAACTGAAATCTACGGAAAAATTTGTATAGACATACAACGTCCGTTAGTACAATAGAGTGGACGTGTTAAAAGAATACAACATCGGTTATAGGGTAAAATATGATGTTGTATATCTAAACAACGTCGTCATCAACATAATAATCAACGGTGTAAATTATACTTACGGCGGTTATTAAGAAAAGAGTGACATTGTAACTTACTAACCATGTCGGGAAGTACTTTACAATGTCTAATATATTCTAGGACGGCGTCATGTGTTATTAACGTCGTGGTAAACGGATGCAACGTCGGTTATGTACATTTGTTATTTAATTTTGTATGACTTTGATATTTTATTCCTAATATTCATAATAATTTCAAAAAAATTCCATAGAATAAACTGACAACTACCATGCACTCATTGAAAGATTTTATCTCCCCTACATCTTTAAAAAAAATTATTTTAAAATTATTTTAATTTGTATTTATTTACTAATATTCATAATATATTTTAAAAAAAAACCGACAAATTATGTGCACTCATTGAGGCAATATCTCCCCCCTACATGCTGAAAATTTTAATTTTAGATTTCATAATTAGAAGTGATAACAAAACTCCAAAAGTTTTAGAGACAAAGAACATAGTAGTCATATACTTTCCATAACATAACCCTATAGGTTTATGTGATCCATTGGTGGTCATAAAATTAAAAATTATTTAATATGGATATTAGCCTACTAATATAGAAGGCATTGTTGTAAGGAGTCCGTAGCAATTTTCGGTTCATTTTTCTCATACTTGTGTATTTTTTTATAATTATTGTAAAATTTAGGGTTTAGGGTTTAAGGTTTATTGAAACGATGCTGGTTTTCTCTCGCTCTTTTGGTCAATTATGCGCGTTCAAATCCCAGGAAACGCAAAGCAAATCTAATTATTTAATACTTGAGAAGTTGGTTTTTGTATGGGCGACGTCCAAACGCTTTACAGCGGCGTCTGTGTAACATAACTGTTGTTGTAAGTCTGAAATTAAACGACGACTGGTTTGTATTTACCGTCGTCTTTAATCAATGCGGTCCTTTGAAATTTTTGACCGGGATCTAAAATTTTCAGAATTTCCCTTTAACCCTAAAGTATTTCCTTCTCGCTTTCAACGTAAATTTGTCTTACAGTTTTCGCTCTCTTTCAAAGCATTGGGTATATTCTCTGAGCTCTCTCAAGCATTATCCATGTAAGTATATTCTCTCAACTCTCTCTCAATATTCTCTTATTAGTTTGTATATATATATTCTATCAGCTCTCTCTCAATATTCTCTTAGTTCGTATATTCTCTCAGATCTCTCTAGATATTCTCTTAGTTTGTATATTCTCTTAGCTTTGGTTTCTTAATATGGGGTTCTTTTATGTTTTGGGAGCTATGGGTTCTTTATTGGGAGCTATATATGGATTCTTTTATGTTTTGATGTTTGCATTATGTTAAGGGTTCTTTGAAAAGGAATGGGGATGGAAGAATTAGGCTTTGGTTTTTTGTAAACCACGACGACGGTTGGTGGGACCAACCGTTGTCTAAATTTTATTATACATCGTCCTTTTATTTACTACCACCATCTAAATTTTTATTAAATCTTTTAGATTGCTTAAAGATGACGGTAAATAGACATGTTGTCGTCTTACTCTATGTTAAGTGACAATTTTTTTTGTAAAAACCGTCTTCTGATTCTTGTGGAATTTTTTTCTCCTTTTTTTCCACTTTGTTCTCTTCTCTGTGAATATAGTAGTGTTTCATTGCTGGTCTTTCACTTTATTATATGTATGATTTTATAGTGTGTGAGATGGATAAGTCATGGATGCATGAGGATAGAAGATCGAAGGCATATGAGTTAGGTGTGGAAGGATTTTTGAATTTTGCTCTAAAAATCTTGGAAATACAACTCATATTCGTTGTCCATGTGTTAAATGTGGGAATATTCGATTGTTTGGAGTTGGAATTATAAGGGACCACTTATACTTTAATGGAATGGACCAAAGATATAAGATTTGGACATGGCACGGAGAACCTTGGGAATGGACTACTAACGCTAGTAGAAATGTGGAAGAAGATGAGCAAAGTAGGTTCAGTTTTGTTTATGAAGAAGTAGGGATGGATGATAATGATTTAGGCGATATTGGATTTGATCCTTATGAGTTTGCCAATGTGATTGGGGATGGAGATCAACCCTTGTACCCTGGTAGCTGTAAGTACACGATGTTGTCAGCTTTGGTGAAGTTATATAATTTGAAAGCAAAACATGGGATGAGTGGTGTTTGTTTTACAGAATTATTGATACTTCAAGAAGATTTGCTTTCAGAAGGAAATACACTACCTTCCTCTATGTACGAGGCAAAAACAACATTGTTTGCTGTAGGGATGAGTTATGAGAAAATCTACACATGTCCCAATGACTGCATCTTGTATAGGAAGGATTATGAAGATTAAACTAATTGTCCTACCTGTGGTGTCTCAAGATGGAAGGAAGGCAAAGATTCAATCTTAAAAGAGGGTGTGCCAGCGAAGGTGGTGTGGTATTTTCCTCCAATTCCAAGGTTTAAAAGGATTTTTCAATCACATAAGACAACTAAGAGTTTGACTTGGCATGCTGCTAGAAAATCAGTTGACGGTCAGATGTCTCATCCAGTAGATTCCCCGTCTTGGAAACTTGTTGATGATAAATGGCCCGAGTTTGGTAAAGAGCTGAGAAACTTGAGATTGGCTCTCTCATATGATGGATTCAATCACCACAGTTCTTTAAGTAGCAAATACAGTTGTTGGCCAGTTATCTTAGTTGCATATAATCTCCTACCATGGCTATTCATGATGTTGACCTTATTGATTTCTGGTCCTAAACAGCCTAGAAATGATATAGATGTCTACTTAGAGCCTTTGATTGATGATTTAAAATCTCTGTGGGATGGGATTAGAGGAGTGTATGATGCACATATAGGAGAATACTTTACACTCAAAGGTGTATTACTGTGGACAGTTAATGATTTTCCTACCTATGACAACTTATCTGGCTGTGTCGTTAAAGGATATAAAGCTTGTCCAAAATGTGGCAATGATACACCTAGTCATAGGTTGAAAAATGGCCACAAAATTTGTTACATAGGGCATAGAAAATGGTTACCAATTAATCATCCACATCGGAGGTAGCGTGCAGCTTTTAATGGGAAACCTAAATATGGCACACCTCCCGAGCCATTAATCGGAGAAGCAGTGTTATACATGGTTGAAGATATTAATTACATATGGGGCTCGAAAAATGGGGGAAGTGTTGGTGAGAATGACGGTGACAGAGTTTGTTGGAAGAAGAAATCAAAATTCTTTGATCTCGAGTATTAGAAATACCTTCATGTGAGGCATGTCCTAGATGTTATGCATATTGAGAATAATGTTTGCGATAGTATCATTGGTACATTGCTGGAGATCCCTGGAAAAAATAAAGATGAGATTGCTGCTCGGTTAGATTTATTGAACATGGGGGTCAAAACTGATTTGCAACCCGAGTATGGACAAAGACGTACTCGCTTGCCTCCAGGGCCTTGGAATTTGTCAAGAGCAGAGAAGAAAGCGGTTTGCAATTCTTTCTATGGTATGAAGGTCCCTGAAGGTTATTGTTCAAATATAAAAAAATCTTGTATCTTTAAAAGATTCAAGACTTCTTGGACTTAAATCTCATGATTGTCATACCTTGATGCAACAATTGCTCCCTATGGCAATTCGTTCTGTTTTGGAGAAGCCTGCAAGGTATGCAATAACTTGATTGTGCTTCTTCTTCAATGCTATATGTGCAAAGATGGTAGATGTTTCCAAGCTAGATAAGTTGGAAGAAGATGTAGTAGTTACTTTGTGTTTGCTTAAGAAGTACTTTCCCCCTTCATTCTTTGATATCATGGTTCATCTAGTAGTACATCTTGTCAAAGAAGTTGCTCTATGTGGCCCAGTATATTTTAGATGGATGTATCCATTTGAAAGGTATATGAAAGTGCTAAAAGGGTATGTTCAGAACCGTACTCATCTGGAAGGTTGCATTGCTGAGCAGTGCCTTCAAGCTAGAAGATGGGAGTTTCGAAGCCATTATCAGGTTGCACAGTAAGCTTAATTGATCGGGACTTGTTGAACCAAGCACATCTATATGTCTTGGAGAATACGGAGGAAGTCTTACCTTATATCGAGTACGTATGACTTTTATTTTTGGGAGTTTCACTAAAACACCCAAAATGGGGGTTGAAATTATAAAAAAACCCAAGCACTATTTAAACATATAAACACACCCAAAACCCATCATTACACACACTCAAAACCCATTTATAAACACACCCAAAAAGTTGACTTTGGGGTTGATTTTGGGTGTGTTTCTATGTTTAAATAGTGCTTGGGTTTTTTTTATAAATACATGTCTAGGATTGTGTTTATTTATAAATTTGTATTTATTTTTTATATGGAGCCATTTTGGATATTATTATTCCTTATGGTTATCTTATATACAAGGGACCGTAATGCTTGATTTTTTCGTGTCAATGTAAGGAACATATGATCCACATCAAGACTACTTATCCAAAATTTAGAAAGAGAACAAAGTGGCTACAAGATAAGCATAATAGCACTTTCATTCAATGGCTCCACTTTAAGGTATATATATGTTATTGAATGACATGCATATTCAACTTTAATTTTCTTCCATTATATATGTTATATTGAAGTAAGATATATATGATTAATTTGCAGGTTCAAAGTGAACTTAATGGGGAAGAGCATAATGGCGTATCAAAAAATTTGAGGTGGCTAGTAGCTGGTCCAAGCATGGCAGTGCCATCATATAGGAGCTATCTTATTAATGGTGTTAAATTTAACACCAAGGCACAAGATGATGTTTGAACTGTCCAAAATAGTGGAGTTTATTTACTTGCACATACTATGCAAGTTGCTAGTGCCAAGGATAAAAACCTTATTTTCTCCAATATGGGTTTTTATAGTGTTATTCAAGAAATTTGGGACCTTGACTACCAAAAGTTTAGAATCTCAGTCTTGAGGTGTGATTGGATAGATAACACTTCGGGCCTTGTAGTCGACGAACTTGGATTTACCCTTGTAGATCTGAGTAAAATTGGACATAGGAATGACCAATTTGTTATGGCTTCTCAAGTCAAACAAGTATTTTATGTTGACGACCCAATGCATCGTGGTTGGTCAGTAATGTTATCAATGCCTAATAAAGAATATAATGATGTTATTGGTGATGATGTGCTAGGTGATACTAGAATTGAGTGTGAGCCATTTACTAGAGAGATCCCAAATGTTGACACATTTGATGACCTAGTGGGTGAGTTTGGGAATAAAAATATTAGAGATGGGTGTGAAGATATATGGATTGATTGATTGTTGTAATGTATGACATTAGTTATTCAGTTAATTGTATGACATTAATTAATAATTTTGTACATCATTTTAATTATGATAATGTTTTCATTATGCAGGCTTTGGGCACGACAAATCAAAAATTAAAAAAAAGCTGTGTTAAAGCTATAAAGTACGACAGTCTGGTAAAAAAATTGGAAACACAGACATCTAAAACAAAAACAACATCGGGTTTTAAAAAGGCAAAAGACCGTAAAACAAAAAAACAAACATCTTAAAAAGAAATCAAGTCGGTTTGCTTAAAATAAATCGTCATCTAAAGGGCGAAATAAAGGTCGTTCAGTTCCATTAACTGTTGTGATAGATGTTCTGCACATCGGCTAGTCTAAAATAACTAATGTCTCCGATCATACATACATCAAAGCAGGTTAAATAAGCAACTTTTAAAAGAACAACCGCGTCATTATGTAATCAAAACCAACGTGGTAAGCAATTAAAACGTCAAGCAGGTGGATCTCTAGACGTAGTGAAGTCATTAACCACGTCCATTATTTTAATTCCACGAACGTTAAATATATAATCCACGTCAGTTGTTTTCCTATCCACGCCCTCAATACTATTTATAACGTCATCCTTTGACAAAAACCAACGTAGGGTACAGTTTTGTACGTTGATATAGAGTAATATTATGTCATTTTAAATCTTTTAGACGTTGGTTATTTAGAAAAAGTGACGTCTAACTCTGTCAAAGGCCCTTCTTTGGGCAATTTAAACCACGACTCTCGCAAGTAACAAACTTGGAATATACTTCACACGTCGGTTTTTATTATAGTTCGTGACGTGGATAATTACATAAGCGTCGGTGATGCCAGGTGCAGGATGTGGTTTTGCCATGTTACGGCGATTATTGGGAGACAAATGACATGTAATACTCTTTAAACGTCTGTTGGTTTGTGTGAACGTCATAGTTTATGTTTTAGACGTCGGTTTCTTTGTTTGTTTAACGTATTACATATTAACCACAATGGTTTCTAGCTTATCCAAGTCGTTTTTCCTTCTTTTAGGGACGTGGATAATTATCTGTACGTCAGTTCTTCTTTTGATCTTGACATGTAACACTCTTTAGACGTCTCAGTTTTCATAAAACCGTCGTCTAATGTTGTCGAAGATTTCATTTTAGGCTAATTATATAATAATTACACGTCAGTTCGTAATAAATCTGGACGTTGAATTCCTTAACAACGTCGGGTATTAACCGTCGTTGTTTGTTGTACAAAAGAAGGCGGTCGATTTCACGACGGTTGGAAAACCTTCTAGACGATGGTGGTTTCCCGTCGTCTGTTTCAATTTTTGTAGTAGTGTTTACAAATCATATGAAAAGATATCCAAGATATCCATTGTCGTTTGGGCTGCATTGCTTGGGATCATAGCTGCAATCCACACCATTCGTCTTATCATTTGGTTGGCGAGGAAGTTGTGGGGCAGGTTCAAGCATAGGATCAGTGGCGGAGCCAGGATTTCACATTAGAGGGGGCCTTTCACAAAAATTTTAAAATAATTCGAATAAGGGTCCTCAAGCGCTAAACGGGTTAATAAGTTAATAATATCATTTCATACTTGATTAATAATTGATCCATTTATTACAATCATAATTGTCCTGAATTTCATATTTTTAAATATTAATCTCATCATCTACACTATTAAAGACTCAAAATTTAATAATTTATACTTCAACAGAGAGAAGAAATACAAAAAGTGTTCATAAATCCCAATATTAAGATACCCTACTTAGACATGTAAATGGGGGGAAGGAGAATTCACAAAGCTTAAATTAAACAAAAGAGGAAGATAAGGAGAAAAGAGTTTTTACTCCAAGAAACAAACATATAAGTAAAAATATGAGGAAATAAAAAAATATGAGAGAGGGCCTGGGCCCACCCTGGTATTTAGGTGGCTCCGCCATTGCATAGGATCCCAAAAAGCCTCAGGAACGTGATTGATAGTTTGGTGGATAGCTCGAGAGCACGTCACCGTACCAAAAAATTTTGAGGAGAATATGCCTGTCGTTTCCTTGTGTGTTGGAGCCACTACATCGGATTGCTAAAGTAAACCATCTATTTAGCGATGAAGAATGTGTTTAAGGAGAACCAGCAGGTCGGGTTTGGCTAGTGAGCTAGCCAGTGTTTGCCTTAATTTATTTCTGTTAGAATTTGTTAAGAGTGAGTCAGAATGATCAGTTTGGATGCTATGTAATAAATAAAGATTCTGTGGAGCTGTTGTTGTTTATTAATCTGAAATCTATTTTTATTTCCTCCATATATAAAGCTTGGTGAAAACCGTTTCATAACTCTTCAGTTAGTTAGGAGGTTTTGTAGTTGCTTTGTAGCTAAGTAAAGCTTGAACAATTACTATAATAAAAGAGGAGAATAAGTGTTAAATCTCATGCGGACCCTACCTAATTCCCTACGTGCAATAAAATGAGTGACTGATGATGTGCCAGCTTCTATCAGACTCTTACTAGAATTATTTACACTCAGATCGCTGAACCGCAGACATCCAAAAAACATCCCTCACATGTATCGCTTACACTGTTGTCGGTCTTCATACAATGATTGAGTCCATTCATCGTCTTTGATTTGTCATGGTCAGTGATTATTACTTGTGGAGCTTGCTCACCACCACCCATAGCATTCAATCATGTCTGTTGATTCCCATAGTAATTAATTATCCTGTGTAGGGTTATGTGAGTTGAGGTTTTTGCCCTAAGTTCTTAGAAGTCATTTTACAAAGCACAAATTATACCTTAACATTCTCTGATATGACCAACAAATTGGGACCACCTCTTTTCGTTTTCACTACTTGGCAGACAAAAATCCATCAGTTTTGTCGGCAATTAATTGTCCAATTTTTTGCCCTTTCAGGTAAGTAGTCATTGATTCATTTTCTCATTGTTTTGGTTGCTAGCGATTCATGTTAGTAATCAATTTTAACTAGGTGGTTTTGCTAATCCAACATCAACCGTCCATTCTTTTTAGAGATCCAACGGCTGAGCATCACTTTCACGAGGACCTAGTTGGTTTTGCTAGACCTGGTGGGCTTCCTCCAGTAGGTACTAGTTTTCTAACAAATAATGCAGTTTAGGGTTTCCCAAGCGACATATTGAGTTGTAGTGTAGAACTAGTACTGTATTCATTTGAAGTGAAGCAAGCTATTCTTCTCCCTCTCTCTCTCCCGGGCTCCTCCTCCATCATTTTTCAGTAAGTACGTTCAGATCTTGATTGTATCTAATTTCTTAATTATCTGTAATCATATATATACATATACATATACATATACATATATATATATAGATAAGTTGATATAATTAAGAGGCCGTTAACTAATAGGAAGGTACGGACTGTAACGGAACTACCATCACAGGAAATGGAAGCGCATCATCGAACACAGGACTTTGAAGAAACAGATGGTGATGCTGATAACTTGCACTTGTACCAGCAGCTGTACAGCTATGCTACTCATGGCAACACAAATAGATTTCACGACACTATTGAAAAGAAGCTCCAGGATCCCAATGCTCGCGTTCAGTTTCTGTCTCGACGGAGCCCCCAGAATAACACATTTGTTCACATAGCTGTGAGCTCTGGCCATGCCGAACTAGCAGCCGAGATCTTACAACAACACAAGCCCCTTTTGTTAGAGAAAAACTTTGAAGGTGACACCGCACTCCACATTGCGGCCAAATCAGGGGATATAGATACGACAACAAACACTCTTCTCCGCGAAGCACGAGGAACAACAAACGTTGAAAATAATGGTGATGTATTGACGTTGTTGAGGATGAAAAATAATGAGGAAAACACTGCCCTGCACGAGGCCTTGATTCAAGGTCACCAATCAATAGCCAAGTGTTTGATAGAGGCCGATCCTACCATTTCACTTTACACTAATAAGGAACAAAAGTCCCCTCTGTACCTGGTCGCTGAACAAGGGCTTGTTGAGATAGTGAAGCTAATAAAAGAAAAAGCAGTTGAGAAGAACACAAAAATTCAAGGCAAGTCCCCGTTGTTTGCTACAATTCTAGGCCGCCAGAAAAAAGGTACGTACATTGAAATAATAATTCTTTTTTTAAATAGTTAATATGATTTTTCCCCTTCAAACTATTGTCTTATTTACTACCCATCATTTTATTTTATTTTTTATAAATAAAACCCAATTGTTATGAGTAAAATCCGATGACTAGGTACATCAAAATACAACAAACTAAGGTAATTAATTCTTAGTAAACTAAAAAAGAATTATGGGTAATTATTTTACCTATACAATCTGGGTAAATTCTTATACGTAAAAAATATAGGTAAATTAGTACCCTTCTTTATTTTTATAAATAGCAAGCCTATTTGTTCATAAATAATGTACCATTTTTCATACAATAATGTGCCCATTTTTTTTTCATAAATAATAGTAACATTTCTATTTAGTATATAGAACTACTTACAATAGTAACATTTCTATTTTGTTAC